GCAGCATAGTTGTATCTAACCTCTTCTGATTTTGTTTCTTTGCTCACTTTGCCATGTCACTCACAGAACCAGAAATGTCTTGGATGAGTGTTTTGGTATACTTATTCTTCAGTCTGTCCCCCCCCCCCCACTTTTTTTTTTTTTGATACTACAAACTTCTCTTTGTTAAGTTTGATTCTAGCTTTCCCAATTTCGTTTGGCACCCTGTCTCTCCTGGAAGTAGGTAGTTTTCTAAAGGGGCTTTCTAAATCTAGACTTTAAGATGTATGGACCAACCTCCAGAATTCCCCAGCATGTTGTATGGGGAATTCTGAGAACTGATGTCTACAGATCTTAAAAGTTGCCAAGGTTGAGAAACACTGATCTAAAAGATAAGAGACTTCTAGCTGGTTCTATCGACACTTAATTTTTTCACATCAGACTGTCATCTTTGCCTAGTTGTCTAGACTACCTCACCACACAAAAGATATTTGGGTGATTGTTTCCTTCAGTACATTTGATCTGCTGGCTCTGGAATATCTACATATGCCTCTGAGTCAGAGTGTGAAGTAAGCATTCAGCTGGGCTCTAACTTTGTTATAACTGCAACTACACAGTTGAGTGGAAGAAGCACTCAACTACACGAGTGCTTTTTCCAAAGAAAGCAATACACTTAATTATTTGGCTATCACATGCAAGGTCTGAGTAGGACATATATGATCTGAAACCAAATCAATAGGCTTCCCAGGTAGAAGTCCGGCAGCCACCAGGTTGAGTGATTCCCACTCAGGTTAGGATTTATATCTACTGTATATACCATTTCTTGCTTTCACCCTCTTTTCATCTCTAAACATTTTCACCAGCCTGTACTGAGCAATGCTTTGATATCGGGATAATTATTCAAAAGAAATCTGATCTATGTTGCATCTTATCTACAGGAGAGCTTGTCCCACTTGTGCAGGAGCTAATTATACAAAAGCAAGAAACATTTTAAATATGTAGAACTAAAGAAATGTCTTCTTTCCAGCCTTAATACAGTACATGGCAGGGTTAACCTTGTTAACATTTCTTAGACCTAATGTACAGCAATTCATTTTTCTTAGCAGCTTCACCCTATTAATTACTTCTGGTAGCAGTGTGATCAATCAGAGCTACAGTTTCCTTCCTTTTCTGTTTCCAGCTGATAGGGGGAAATGTTTATCTGTCCCTAACCACATGACCTTTAACTTTCATTGTTCTGAATGGTCGCCTCTTTTTTTTTATTATTCCAGTATTCATAAGGCTATCCTGTTTATACTGCGGAAGCTCCTAGGGTTTTTAGCAGACTTTTCCCACCCTTAGGTCATCAAACATTAACCATCCTGAGATTGGATTAGGCAAGGAGCTTGTAAAAGGCTTCAGCCACCCGAACTGCAGTATTTTATCATCACACAGGGAGGTAACTGCAACATTATATATACAATGATCAGTGAGAAGCATGTGCTTCAGTCTGTGGTTTAAATTACAGTGTAGTGAGAAAGACTGGAACAATTAAGTTTCGGTCAATAGTTAAAAGAGAAAGGTTCCCACCAAAAACTTCCCTGTTTCTCTGCAGATAGCACCAGGTGGGGAATATTTATTATATTAAGGACAGGACAAGCTATTCATTTGCCTTCCTCATTTGAACAAAAGTGAATTCTCATAGCCTCAGGGGAAGCAAACAAAATCAATTGTTAGACAAACTACTCTTAAGTGCACTTGCTAGAAATATTTGTTCATTATTATTTTAAAAAAGTAGTGCATTTGCTGATAATCCAATGCAGTGTTTAACAACTTGTGTTACATTATAAAATGCCACATGTCTATGATTTGGGGGCACCTGCCATATGCAGCACAATGTAACCTGTTAATATTCCTTCATTCCTGTTACCTCTTGGTTGGCATATGGCAAACTTATTTGGGAGAGAAATACAAGCAGTTCATCTGGTTCCCAGTCAGTACAAAAATAAAATTTATTTGTAGAAAGGCAAACAAATGCTTATTCCAGATCAAACTGCAAACACAAGATGAAGAAATCAAAATCTTCTACTATTACATTTACTTCTTCAAAAAGAAGTAAATCGTATTCAAGTCATTTTTAAAGAGTGTATTTCAATTGATCTACTCAGTTTTCTCAAAGACCTTACCATATTGTAATTACAATTATTGTTATAATTACAATACATTATGAAATAATATATTGTATATTATTGTAATTATGTATAATATACTTTGGCATTTCCTTTTTACTTTATTTTTTCAAGCACACCCCCCCCCCCAAAAAAATTGGGTTAATCAGGGAGATAGGAAATGCAACTTAGAAAGAAATAGCTTTGCCAAACTGTAGTAATGAAGACATTCTTTTTAAGAAAGCTATTCTAGCTATCAATTTCCAAAACAACTGGGTTTTTTAAATAATGGTCCTAGAATATCCAAAGTGAATATCATCTGAGAAAAACAATATTATCTTTGTTTCCAAAGAGACAGATTTCTGTTACTGTTTCTGCAATAGGTTAAGAATTTAATGGTAATATCCAAAACACTAATTACTACTTAATAATGATTTATGACATAACTTCCATTGAGTAAAGTAGGATTTATTTGTTTGTTAATATGTACAGAATTGGATTGCAACACTATCTATAAAGTTGGGAGAAAATCCTAATGTAGTCAGGATTGAGCTATATAGGTACAACCTTATATTCAAGCTGCTTAGTTCAGTAGCATAATGTGCAGAGACTGCAGCCCAAAGGGACATCCAGTTATCATTCTGGTTGATCACATTTAATTTTAGTTATGTCCTTACTTACCTCGACTACAATTTCATAGTGTCTCCTTCTCACTCTGATCTTTCCTACAAAGTAACTCATACAAACAGCCACTGGGAAAGGTTATGGAGGTGAGGGGATTTTGAGATGGATACTGTGTTTCCCCGAAAAAAAGACCCTGTCTTATATTTTTTGAACCTCAAAATAAGCACTTGGCCTTATTTTCAAGGAGGTCTTATTATTTTAGGGTGCATGGAGCAAGATGGGGCTCCTTTTGCCATCTTACCTGATTTCCAGCTCTGTGATTAAATATTTTTGGGGAGGGCTTATTTTTTTGGGGAGGCTTATTTTAACGCATGCGCTCAAAAGCCTGATTGGGCTTATTATCAGGGGATGTCTTATTTTTGGGGAAACAGGGTAATGAAGCAGTTACTGTACATGGAAGAATTTAAAAAAACAAACAAACAGAAGGATATCTATGCTGAACCGGATCATAGAACTGTAGTGTGTGTGAATGACTTATTTTTCAAAAAAGATTCCAGCAGTGAAGAAAAATGTGTGCAAATCTGCAATTAAACACTTTAATATGATACAATCTTTCATATAAAAAACTATACACGTACAATATATAAAACTCTAGTGACAGCACACATGAAGTGACTAAGCAACAGCCCCTGGATGTCTCTATCAGCATTATTGATAACTATTACGGTATCCACTTAATGTTTTTCAAAAGGGTATGTAGATTATGTCACTACTGTTCTCTTTTTAATAACCCTGTCAAGTGGACAGTGCAACTACTCCAGACTTTCATTTGGGAGGTAAGGGGAAGGAGGTTGATAATTTAAAAAAAAACACCCGATATGTATTTTCACAAATAAACTCAAATTTGAATTTAATACAAGATATTTAAGGGAAGGTGAAATCTAAATCAAAGATTCTGAGGCTATAGGGTAAAATAAACTGCAGTTATAACTACATGAGCATGGAATTAAGGTCCAGCTAAATAAAGAATAATTCTTCCAAAATTCAGAATGAGTTTGAACTAAATTACTAAGGAAATACTAGAGTGGGGCTGTTTTTAGTGCTCAATTTCTTTCTTACTTTTCTGTGTTCTGATATACAGTATTACTTTTCTCAAAGCTTTGTAATGAAAATGTGTACTGTATGATTTAGACTTCTTCATACATTTGGACAAATTTGTTTTCAAAAACCTCTCCAAGTATCTTTATCAAACATTAATGCAACCCTAAGAAACAGGAAGAAGATACTATGCATTTATTTGCTCTAACAAGAAATCAGAGCCCTGTTCTTTTGGCCTCAGTTAGAATTCTCTCATCCTCAGCAGAGCCAAGATCCAGGCCAGTTTTTAGGTGAGATTCCTCAGGCAAGACATTTTATCCTTATCATGAAGTCTAGGGGATGATGCTTTTTCTTAATTTACTAAAGGCATAAAACAAAAGAAACCCTGAACTGGAGCATATACACTGGAGCTGATTTTTGAACCTGCTGATTATTTCCAGTGGATTCTGTCCACGCTGCGCAAAAGACCCGAATTAAAGCCATTAAAACCTCGAGAAGGATAGTAGATCATTCCGAGATCACTCGGGGCGTGAACGGAACAAGCAAAATGCTTGAGGGAGTCAGAACAGACTACAAACGTCCTCGTCGTAAAAAAAAAAAAAAAAAAGCAACGGGAACGAAAGAGCTACCTTTGCAGGTGCGAGTTTGTAAAGTCCGTTAGGCACCTGCTCTTGAATTGGATGGTGCTCGCTTTTGGGTCACCCCACCCAGTTTAGTAAGTTTTAGTACCACGCGGAGGATGAAAGAAAAAAAAAAGGGCTTCCACCCATGCCAACTACTAGCTGGACAGATCCCTCTCCGAGCCGTCTTTTCTGTCTCGATGCTTTTTGCTTGGGGCTTTTTTTAAAGCACAGTACGCGTACAGGAGACCCTTTTTCAAGGCAGAGCCCCTTCTAAGCGTGAAGTTCGCGATGCACTGGGCAACTCTCGGGATTTATTTTTTTTCAATTGCTGCTGTCGGCAGACTGGGGGCATTTAAACGCTCAGGTGCAAAGCCGCCTTAGCCGAAGAGTAAAACCGCCGGGCCGCTCCCCCCCGCCCCCTCGGGAGGACGAGCGAGCAATCCAAAGGAGCATCAAACTCTCGCGCTGCTCCGGGCCGCGTCTTTCCCTCGCTCTGCCTTGCAATTTCCTCTCCCACCAGCAGCGAGCAGCAACCGGACGCCTGCGAGAAGGGAGGCTTGCGACGCGCGCGCGCGTGCTCTCTCACTCACTCACTCACTCACACGCACACACCCTCTCTCTCACATACACACACACAGACATCGAGGGGAGGGGAAGGGAAGGGCTCCGGAGGCTTGGTGTGTTCCTGGGTGGAGGAGGAGAATCAGTCAGCGAGCCCCAGCCTACAAGGCGCCTCCGTCTATCCATCCAGCCTCCTCATGCCGGTTCCCGCTCTTTCCCAGCCGTCCGCCGCCTGGGACGCCAACCTGTTTGTGGAGGTCACTCCGGGGCCGCTCGCAGCCTGTGGCTTCTCCCCTTCCTCGCTGCCGTGCAGCGCCTGATGGGCTTGCCGCTGAGAAGACGGCTCGGAGCTTTACGCTAAGCGAGAAGCATCCCGCCTCGCCGCCACCTCGCACACCTACAGCGGAGGGATTTACTTCGTCTGGAGGAGCCCGAGGGGCTGGCCGCACGCCGGGGAAGAAAATGTTCCTCGACCCAGACGCAGCCAAAGGTAATAAGCGACCCCGCAGGACTAACTAGCCGCACGGCAGGGACCGCCCCCCCCCCTCGCCTCCCGGGCACCGCCGAGCACTTGCCGCGGACGGTGCGGGCCGGGGGGAGCTGCCCCCTTTCTATGGGAAGGGAGAAGAGCGAGAGGGGAAGAGGGGGGCGGAGGTCGTGGTGCCGCTCCACGCACCTGAAGGAGGAGGAAGAGGATGACTCCCCGCGGCTGATTGGGCGGGGAGCCTGAGGAGGGGAGGGGAGGGCTCCGGCACTTCGCTAAGGAGGCGGCGAGAAGGGGTCGGCTCCGCGGCGTCTCGTAGCTGCGGCGGCGAAGCGAGGCGAGGCGAGGCGGGGCGGGTGGTGGCGGGAAGCGAATTCGGCGGCGACCTGCAGGGAGGAGGTTGTGAGGGGTGCGCTGGGCGCAGGACTGGAGTCGACTGGCTCGGCGGGAACTTGGGGGTTGGGGAGAAGAGCAGGGCCGCCTAGGGAGGCGGAGCCCAGCCGGCTCCATAACTGCCTTGCCTTCCGGAGACTGGCAAGTGGAGCTGTTGCGGCCGCCGGAGTTTGGAACGGAGGAGAGGTTGGGGGGAGAGAGAAAGAAAAAGAGGCCACCGAGCCCGCGCGTCGTTTCCCGATCTCCCTGTCCCTAGTTGGGCTCCCCGCCTATGCGGTCGGGCCCTGCTCCGGGTTGCCGTCCCGCCCGCCGCCCCCTTCCCTTGGCTTGCTTAGCTAGACTTTACGGAGTTTCTCCCGGCCCATAGCTTGGGGCAGAAGACTCTCTCCGGCCGCCTCCTCTTTTCTTAGGAATCCACCGCCCTTCGGAGCTGCGGCGGAGGAGGCGGCACCTGCTACTGTATTCCTGGGCTAAAGTATGACCCAGATCGTGGCCGCCTGCTTCCCAGCGCGAGTGCTTGACCCGAGCGGCCTCGCCTCGCCTCGACTTTTCTCCTCCTGGTCCGAGACAGGCATCTGGTTGGCCGCAGCTCCTGTTTTTCCCCAGCGAACCTTTTGTGTGTGTGTGTGTCCCTGAGATGCTCGAATGCTTGGTTTTCCAGGAATGTAGCGACCACCGCTGCCCTGCTGTGAGCAGGCAGTGCCGATGAGCTTAATTTGGTGGAATTGCAAACCGTACTTACATTTAATCCTACCTCTCTCTCACACACACACACACGTTTTAATTTGACAGTACTCCCTAATCATTATCTGCCTCTATATTCAAAGAGAAAGATTAAATCCCAATCAAAAGTGGCACCAAAAGTATGGAAAGTCGTGACTGTGTGCTGCTTCTGCTATCAATGTGTGTATAAAAATCCGCAACTAAAGGAGGTTTTGCCCATTAATAGGGTCATTAGTGGTTTCTTTATGTGGCCTTCAAAACAGAAAGGACTTGGGAAGGACTCCCCAGTGCTGAAATTTGGGATTTCTGACAACAGATCAGCCTGTGAAAAATCTAAGGGTATCTTGCAAGTTTGTTTCTTCTAGTTTGAACAAAATCTGTAGGTACAGACTACATATGATTTCACAGTGACTTACTGAACTGCCAAAAAAGTTTGTTTCTTTTCATGACATGGGTGCCCTTCCAGTGCCAGAGTGGTGTGATCAGTATATCAAATTGAAAAGAAGAGAGCTAGATCATGGGTCTGAATTATGAATTTCCTTGGGTTACAAGCATCTCAAAAGACACTGTTTATTAGAGGCTATCACAGCCATCAATGAGAAGATACAAAGCCTGACCTCTTACTGTTACATTAGCACAAGAATGTCTGGGTGATGCTATGAATCCCTAGTGATGAAATCACTGGCCTGGTTTACATCAGTAGATTGTTGCAATGATAAGACAGGGAAAAATACATACACTTGTAGTGAGTTGATGGAATTACAAATGTATGGATAGATGAAACCTGTATATACCAAAGCTGTTTGAAAAAGCAACAACTTGATTAGGTGGAATGGATATTCTTGGCTTCCTGTCTGCTTCTATGTATTTGCCAGATGCATCAGATCTGGTCACTATTGGGAAACAATGAAGGTCTGATAGAACTTAAGTTTGTTCCAGCAAGGCTATTCTTATGCTGTCATTGAAAAAACTGTAATCCATAATCACCCTTGGCAATATCCTATGGCAACCATTAACACAAAATAATTATATTGTATATACTTCAATCTGAATGTTCCAGACTTGCTTTTACTTTTATTCAGGTGGAAGCAGAAAGAACACCCAGGAACCATCCTTTATAGTATTCATCATTAATAGCTAGTGTTATGTGTATAATTTTCTATTCAGAACAGCTGTTCTTTTCTTCCAAGTCTCAGCTCAGCCTTTGTAGGCCTCTAAATTCATTTTTCCCTGTTCTTTTGGAAAATAGAGAAGTCAAAACTCTGTACTGAGCCAAGTCAGAAGGGAGTCTACTGAAGAACAAAACATGGAGACGTATTTTCCATGTTCTTGCCAGTTTATTTTTCACAGTTGCACTACACAATTCAGAAAAGTAAGTTAAGTTAGTTTGCGTTGTCTCAAGTACTTTTTTGTCTGTGGTATCTTTCCATTTAAACAGGTTGTAGCACTTCAATAGCTAGGTTGGCAATTCATTTTCAAACCATTACAGCCATGAGGATCTCTTGCTCTGGGAAGAGAAGTGCAGAGAAAGTTTTAATGTTAAAGGTGTCATTTAGCATAATCCTGTTTCCCAGTTCCTTTAAAAAAAAAAACCCCTCATGTTGATGATCAGATTAAGTTGAATTGGCTCTTTGCACTCTGTTCCTCATATACATGGCCTGTAAGTATGTAAACCTTAACTCTCTCCTTCCTTTTATCAATGAAGGTCAGACTCTGTTCTCTAAAGTCTGCATACATCTTTCTCAGTAAAGATAATTATTCCAATATTAACTATAGCCAATAATTAGCATAGCGACTGTGGACAATCGCTAGCTGTGCTCCATGGAATTCCATAGCATAGTGATGCTTGTTTATCTTGATGTATTCAAATCTTGTGGAAAACTGAAGTTGTCTCTACCACCTGTTTACCTGCAGATCCTCCCCACTTCTTAACTAATATCTTAATTAACCCATAGGTTTTTTTAAAGCTAATGTATGTGTATGCCATCTCTCTCAGAATTCAAAGTGTCCTCATACAGATTCTTTAAAAGTTGTAACATAAGAAAATCTATGTTTTTTAAATTGTAGTATTCCACAGAAATTGATGCACTCTATTAATCATATAGAAATCAATGCACTAGGAACATTGTGCCTTAATTAATGCCAACCACTTTTATTTTTAGTGTATTCTATTTCACTCTTTAATGTTATATAAACAATCTTAGGTTGAATGTTTTTAATGAGTCTAATTCTGGTTGATAGCTGAGTTCCAGAGCTCATTTTGTGTACAACAATTCTAAGAATTTCTGCTCATAAATCTCATTGATTTCAGTGAAACTTTCTTCTAGAGAGACATACAAGTAAAGATGGAGTTTGTAATGCACTAGCACAGAAAGTGTATGGGAGGGGGAAAGGGGTTTGGTAGGGGAACAGAAAAAAACTTCATCCTTCTGTATGAATTATTTGCAATTTGGTACTCCAGATGTATTACACATTTCTGTTTGTGACCTTGGAAATCCATCAGGAATAGATAGGAATTAAGTTCAAACTATCTTCACAGCATATATCAATGATGGTGAACCTATGGCACATGTGCCGGAAGTGGCACGCAGAGCCATATCTCCTTGCACATGAGCGGTTGCCTGTTGCTCTTCAGGGTTCTGGCGTGCCAGCCAGCTGGTCTTCACGCGTGTGGGAGCGCCGGAAACCAGTAGAGCAGCCGCCCAGCGCATATGTGCGCACCAGGAAAATGGTCTTCCAGCTTCCAGCATGCACATGTGCACTGGCCAGCTGGTCTTCGCCGGAAACCGGAAGATTATCTTCCTGGTGCGCACATTCACACCAGGCGGCTGCTCTTCCGGTTTTCGGCACATGCGTGCACGCTTCCGTTTTGGTACTTGATGCCAAAAAGATTCACCAACATTGTCATAGATGATCTAAAACAAAATAATGAATTTGAAAATCTTAACATTGTGATAGCTAAATTATACAATTAAGCCTGAAGAACTGGCATGGCCAACCATTCTAGCTTTAAGGACTGTGAGCTAGTGCATGGGTGTCAAACTCAAGTCATCAAGTCAAGTGATGTATCGTGACTTTTTTCCCCTTCACTAAACCGGGTGGGTGTGGTCAGTGCATGTCACATCCAGCCTGTGAGTTTGACACCCCTGAACTAGTGGGTTGGGGTAGAGGCTGAATGCATGTCTGTATCCAGTTGTAACTACTCTTTCTCCCCTTCTCTTTCTCTCTCCCACATGGATTGCTCCATTGTTATATAGAAATTACACACACTGTCATAAATGCATATAGTGCAACAGCCTTCTCTCTTTTATACAGACATACTCAGTTACTGGAAAGAAAGCAGAAAACAGGGCTGCCTCCTCCCACCTGTTTGCTGCTTATTGGTTTTGGGCTGTAGGTATAATCTGTTACACCAGGGATAAAATATAAGATAACTTGACCTATTCAGAAACAAATTCAGCAGGCATGTGGGAAAATAGAATGCAACTGCCACCATTAGGATATAGGTTGTAGGATGTCATACACAACTGCGTTTTAGATTTGTAGACTAAAGAGTGATTAGTCTCTCCCGTCTGATGACTCCAAATATGTTCAATTACAATTCTTATTCCAAAGCAAGAAATTGATCAGATTGATCAGTTAATGATTGATAACTGATTAAAAAAAGTATCATTTTTCACCCTCCTTGTTATTTTGGATGGGAATAACTGATACTTTATTTCAACAATCAGAGAATAAAATGTCAGGAGAGGTCCCATCAATCTTATTCAAAGATTGTGAATTTCTAGCTCAAATAATTGTTTCTCCAAATTCGATTTGTCCTCATTTGATCTTCTTTGACACAGCAGATGGATGTCCTCTTGCTTGTGGTATGTGGCCATTGCATTGTC